AAAAAAAAAAAAAAAAAAAGCATCCAAAGGTCCTCACGAGTCACACTTTACTGTCGTGTGTGCATTCAAAAAAGGCCTTAAAAAAAAACTTCCAGCTCTTCCTCTCACAAATCTTCTCCAGCGCAGAAATCAGATACATTTATCACATCCAGATTTGCTATCCTCCAAAGCCCTCCAAACACACAAGTTGACCCCGAACTCGGCCGAGCGTCTCATTCTCTAAATCCTCGACTGGGCTCCCCATCGCTCAACTCGTCCACTTCAAAGTCTTTCGTCTCATGTTCAAAGCCCTTCATCCCGATGCCCCTTCCTACGTGACTGACCCGCTACGCTTACCCCGCAGCCTCCTTTCCTCGGAGTTAAACTTTCTCTCCCGGTGGTTCTCAATTTTTATAGACTGAGTAAAAAAAATACTCAGCTCTCCGCAGGTACCGCCGTAGCATCCTTCGTTTCAGCCGCTTGTATCTGCGATCTCTCTCCTCTTCTTTCCCGTCACGACCCGCGGCTCGTGACCCGATTTGAGGGTTGGAATGTAAATCGAGAGCGTCACCTTTTGGGCTCATCTCCTTCTTCACTGCGGCAGACCCAACCAAACAATGTCCGCAGAACAAGTTAGGATGTTTTGGAAAAAAATATTCAAATCACCTTTTTATCAAAGTAGAAGATATTGAGTCAAGATGCTACTGTGATTTTAACACACGGGTTATTTTCAGCATAATTAATTCAGTCACTCTGTATAAATATGGTCCCACGTTGTCTACTCTTAAACACGGAAAAACTATCATTTGATAAAACACAACAATTCCGAATCCCCTGACCGATGAAACGCACAACAGAGCCCCCGTTCAAGGAGCTCGTAAAGCGGATCCCATTTTGGACTTCCTGCTTGTCACGGTCCGTGCGTCGTCCGTGTCAGCGTCGAGTGCGAGCGTAGGCGTGTCAACGTATGCGCCAAACCATCGTAGAGCAATTGAGTGAGCACCCGCGGCCGCGCTACTGAAACTGTCATGGAAGCGGGAATGGTGTGGTGTCCCGTTTGTAGATTCAATTGGAATGAGTGTCGAGATGTCTTTGCGTGCGTTGTGCGCGCCAGCATCACCGTGTGCGCTAAGACAAGTGCACAGTTGCTCACGCGTGCAGCTTAAAGGGAACATTGGTGCTAACTCTTCTTCGAGTGCTGTACATTTATTTTGAAGACCTGACTTTTGACACTTTACGCCGATGTTGTCCCAACTTGCCCGAGTGTTCTGTTGTTCCGAGATTGCGATACCTCACAAGTCACGCCTTCTGTCTCTGATTGGTTGTTTTTTCCCCCCCCCCCGCACACGAAATGTAATTGTATGGAGAGCCACAAGATGTGGCCAGAGACAGCTGACGCTTTGTTTTCGGGCATTAGATTTATTTTGTGCGACTGTCTCGTCATCATTTGACAAAAAGTGTTTTTTTCCCGGTTCCCCGCAAACTCTGCCTTTCAAAAACCAGCTCTCTAAATCACTCTCTTTTCTTGTCCTTTTTTTTTTCTCAATGACATGTGAGCTACTGTACATCACCTGACAATTGACTTGCCGCCTGCAGAATTTTCCGCAATGAATCTGTGCGCAGACAAACATGAGTGAGATTGTGTGCAATTATAATTCCCAACGCACTTTTCATCCCATCTTGGCTGATTTATTTTCTGTCCAAGCCAATCTGAAAGCCCCCGTGACGATCCCTGCGCCAGCGGATCGATGGCGTGGACGTGCGGCCGCACGCACGTAGCGGAATGCACACAGAAGAGGAGGAGGAGGAGGAGGAGGAGGAAGGCGGAGTTGGCAGCTCGCGCTCCACCATCGGCGCGCATTCGTCGCCTGCCGAGCGGTCCCGGAGGCTGACGTGAGCCCGCCGCAGCCGTCAACTTTGCGAGCGCTTTCTCTCCAGTTCCGCGGAGGACGGCGGCGAGGCGCTTCCGCCGCACCGGAGTCGCGGACGGCAACGCTCGACCCCCGGGCAGCCTGGGTTGGCTTTCCCGGCAGCATGGAGGGTGACGTGATGGATAAGGTGGAGAGCACGGCGACCACCGTGTGTGACTTGGACCCGAGCAGCGGGAGCATCCCGGCGACCAAAGTGGAGCTCACCGTCTCCTGCAGGTGAGCGAACGCGTGCGACCAATCACTTCGACCTTTCGTCAAAGCGGCGCTGCCGTCGGGGAAACTCGCTGCCTTGACGACAATTTTATCGTGAGATATTCAGTCGGATCTTAGTGCCACCTTTTAAAAAAAAAATTCAATCTAATGATATATTTTTCCATACATTTGAGTTTTTCCATCATCTGTTTACAGTGCGATATTTCATCTTTATTTGTCATGAGTTTGAGCATTTATTGCGATTTTAGTGCAATATTTAATTCATCTACTCCCCCCCCCACCACTTTTGATATCAATATTTCATTTTATGTCCCACATTTGACTGCAATAGTCACGCATTTGTTAGCAAACATTTTTTGCAACTCCAAGACTTGGTTCCAATATTTCATCAGTTTTGTGCCGAGCATTTCCAAGATTTCATTGCATTTTTTGGGGGGGGCGGTGGGGGGGGTATGTTTGTTTGTTTTGCAGGATTTCATCATTTGTTTTGGTCATAAAATGGAAGCATTGCCGGCAATATTAAATCCAATTTTAAGCCCTCAATTTTTAGAATGAGTCTGCGTTATATAATGTGTGCGCGCGTGCTGTCATGATATCGACCATGTCGGAGTGGAATTGCCTCTCTTCAGGTATTTCTCGCACCGGTCGCCCTCCCTCGAGGGGTCGTCAGTGCTTTGCGGGCCAGGTTCGCATTTGTCATACAATCTGGAGCGCTTTGATCGTCCATCTCCCGATGTTCAAGTCTGCCTCCAAATGCAAGCGTGCATGCCGATCGCTCGGGGTGGGGCAGGGCCGCCCGACGCGCTCCATCCTCCCATCACTTGGCGTCCACCGCGTTTCAGCCGCGTGTCCATTATTCATTCGTCGGATCCATTCTGGATGAGTTGCATTTCACGTATGAGAGAGACACAAGCGAGAGAGAGGAGCAAAGAATGAGTGTCACCACCCCCCGCCTGGCCTTGTGTTGTTCGTCTTCGGAATCCGCCTCTTACTGGTGCGGACTCTCCACTTTGATTGGATTGCTGTGGTGGAAAACCTGCACAGAGTGCAGCGTGTGTACTTGGACAAACCCCAATGAGGGAAGTTGGCCCCAATGGGACCCAGTTGGAAGCAGGTCCACTCCAAGCCTTGGCAATAATGATGGAATCGCCAATCTCCGAGGCTGCTCTCATTCAACTGCAAAGATCAAGCAGATTGGATGTGACGCAGAAACGAATAAAACACTCAAATCAATCAAGGGGGGAGGAAACGTGGTGGTCAGCAACAGTTGTTTAGAAGAGGTGTGGGGTGGGGGGGGGGTAGTCCATGGCTCCTCTAGCACACCTGATTAAGTCTGCTGATGATTTGAATCAGGTGTGCTGGAGGAGGGCGACGTCCAAAACAGGCCGGCGAGGGGCTGTCGAGGGCCGCACTTGGGCAGCTCTGGTTTCGAGGAAGCGGGGGGGGGGGGGAAATTCCGAAGGGAAAAAAAACAAAACAAATGATGGAATCGTGAAAAGACACACCGCAGCAACGAAAGATCACTTCAAAGACAGCACTCGTGCTCTGTTGCTTTTCGAACAGCCATTCATCAGGATGTATTGTATTGTATTGTATTGTATTCCTCTTAGTCAATCCGCCTCCAACTGTTCGGGATTGCTTTTGCCAAGATCAGCTTTGCGGGTCACGGAGACTTCTCATGGGCCATTTTCTTCAACTTCCCGAAAAGTTTGTGAAATCCGGACTAGTTTCAGACCTTCGATCGTCTTACGATCGCTTTGCAGAAACGATGTCACTTGTACTATTTACTCTGTTATATTTTGCACAAAGCCGGTGGTGAGTAGCAGAAGGACTTCAGCTTATCCCTCCCGATGCACGTGAATCTTTTTTTTTTTATTTCCCCTTCTTCCCTTTCCGTACGTAAAGCTCGCAATGTGTGTCGATGCCTCCGGGCGCTGTCGGTCTGCTGCTCCCTTGTTTGTCATTAACGTCTCTCGGAAGCAAGACTCGCTCCTGGCCGCACTTTTCCAGACGAGAGAAATCATTTGTGCTGCCGGGAGAGATTGTCTGATTCCGACTCGTGCGCGGCGATTCATTTCCACACAGGTCAGACCTTTGGGGGGGGAGCACTGCCAGACACGACAAAACTTGCACACCCTTTCAGTGGCAGGATGAGATATTTTCAAACTGTGGACCAGCGTTCAGATTCTTTTTTTTGGTGGTGGTGGGGGTGGGGGGGTTTGATTCAACTTAATTCATGACAAGGCGCAGGAAAGAGGCTTCAAGATCTTTTAGGCCCCTCCTGGTTGAAGTTTACTGTCGAACTTTTGCTTCCCACGGTTCATTGCAACAAAGGCCTTTTTTCACTATTTTTCTGGGAAAAATCCGGTCATTGTCACGAAGTTTATGTTACAACAGTGTCCGTCGTAAGCAAAATCGGCCGATGTAAAATCACTGCGACTTTGAAATGTGAATGTTGAAAACGTGAACGGGGCGTGTTGAAAACGAGGTTGGACCGTACAGTCAAGGAGGCGCTACTTTGGGACGTATGAAAATTGACATGTCTTCACCAAGCATTTTACAGTGAAACTCCTCTACAAGGAAACCTACATGGGTGAAAATGCAATAGAAAGCACAAAAACAGTCCAACTAAGATCAAGTTTGAGTCAAATGCCAAAGAATACAAGTGAGTTTTGAGACCAATTTTAAAGATGGGCAGCAAGGGGGCTTGCCGAACGTTCAGTGGGAGTTCATTTCAAAGTGAGGGACCGGCAACGGAAAAGGCTCCGTCCCCTCTGAGCCTCCATGTTGAATGTTGATGTGTTTTTTCTGTGGAGGGGGCATGTGTAGCTTCATTGTGTTTTTTTATGCAATGACAATAAAACGAAACTTGAGCTTGAAGATATCCGGGTGCTCCCCTGGTTCTGAGGCCCCCCCCCCTTAAAGGTGAATCATTGATCCAAATCACAATGAACGGCAGCATCGGCCCAACACAGACTCTCGACAGGCATTTGGAGACCGAAGAAGCAAGTGAGCGCTGTGCGCTTGAAAGGCTTCCCGATGCTGTTTCGTTTATTTCTGAAACTCCGAGATTGCCGAGCACTCGGAATTGAATTGTAGCGTGCAGCCCTGCAGGCGTTCTTGTATTATCTGCCGATATTGCTTCCAGAGACCCTTAGAAGAAGAAAAAAAAGCCTGACGGCAGGGTGGGCGTCAGACAAGAGGTCTTATCAAAGCGAGGGAGTATCGCCGTTCCGCCATGCGGCTCCGCATGAAAGCTTCTGACCGGTTTGGCGCCATTTATGTTCGCTCGTGTGTTGCGTGGTTTATCTAACGAGAGCTCAGTAGAGGTTTGGAACTACTGTACGGCGCTTTGTAACCATTCGATTGCAGTAATTGATTGATTCGAGCAGTGCAGTATCCAATCAATACGTTCCATTGCTGGGAGGGGCGAGAGGAGGGGCTGGGGGGGGGGAGCTAACACAATCAATCTGCTCCCGAGGGAGTCATTGCCTTGGACCTGACCGCCGTCAGGGGCAGAATCCCTCCTTTTTGATTGACACTCCTTGGGAATGTTTAGGGGGGGGGGGGGGGGGGGGGGGGGGGGAGTGGGGACCGTGGGCCAATGTTCACACCTTCTGGACTTCCTGATTCCGGCTGGAGTCAGTGTAAGATGAGCTTGAAATTCAACGGTTCAGCAGTCAGTCAGTCAAGCCCTGCCTCGCCAGTGTTTCAACGCCTCTCACGCCATCCTAGCAACAAAGCAAAGGAAGTTTGAAAAGTTGGACGCCGGACCAGAGGGACGGCCTAGCTTAACGTTAGCTGGGACAAGGCTAGTGCAACACAACATGGGTGGATTGAAAATGGGACCAAAGAGACAAAAAAATGTACATCCTGGGTTCTGCCTGCAGTTGGCCAGGCTTTGGCACTGTCATGATCCTGTTTTTGTTGAGATTAGATTTGGTTTTGTTTCATAGTTTACGGTCACGGTTCTGTTCCATTTGTGACCAACAGGTTGCATTGGAGGACTTCATGTTCACCTGTTGGTCATTAGCATTCGCTTTTTCTGTTCAGGGGACCGCCACGCTCACCCCTTGGTGTCGGATTGTTGTGCTACGTTCACGTGGGTTGTTTGTTTGTTTCAGACACGTGATACTGGAGTAAGTCGTTTTCAACTAAAAAGGAGTTGATATTCTGCATGAATGCGCAGGTGTGGGCTGCGCTCCGATATGTTTGAATGAGATAAGTCGAGATAGCTTTTGCCAAGGTATGATGAAGATAAAGCGCAAGTGAAGTGCACTCCATTTGCCATCTAATATTTTGATGAAATTGGATACTTCATTTTTTTGGACTATGATGGGGTTTTTTTAAGATGCAAGATCTGAATCCATTTGAACATCATTCGCTGACGTGAACATGAATGTCGAATGGACATTTTGGGTGTCAATGTTCCGAATGAAAGGATGGAGGAATTCTTGTGGTGGCTCCTCAAAGCGTGGCGGATTCATTCAAAGGTGCATTGGCGCCTTAAAGGGAAGTCAAGTCCAAAAGTATTTTTTTCACATTGATATGTTATGTGGCGGTAATACAGTAGTCCAAACGGGGTATTCTGATGAATAGAATATGGATTCATCTGCAAAATAAAAACCTGTTTTTATTGATCTCAGGAGGCTTGCCATTTTGTCACTTGCTGTCGCCTAAAAATGACATCACGGTCGCTCAGGCAACCACGGCTCACCTGAGTTTGGCCATGTGACGTTTGCGAGCTGAGCCGTGATCGGTCGTGACCCGAGCCCGTTTTCAGTGCGCAGCCAAATGCTTGGCAAACGACACGTATGAAATCAGGTGCATTTTTTTGCTGCTTCATCATATTCCACGGATGCAATATTCATCAGAATGTGGTGTTGAGACTGGTGACGGCACATACGACATATTATTGAAAGAACATTTTTGACTTGGCTTTCCCTTTTAATGTACAAAAGCATTCAAAAGCCTGTCGTGAGTTAGTGAGTTCCTAATCATCATCATCATGAATTTTGATTGATTTGGCACCTTTCAGGACCCCCTCGGATGCTTTGCAGATCACCTTGTGCATAAGATGACGTGGCGGGAGTAGGGCTCGTGTCGATTCCTTGATGTCATCCGAATACGAATTCGACGACGAGCCTCCGTGACTGTTCACTGCGCTTGTTGCTTCAGCTCGTATCATGTGGCAAGCGCGGCGCACTCGCAAAGTGTTGACAGGATTGACGGGAAGACGCCGAGAGTTGCAGCAAGGCCATCCCCCTTCTGGCTCACGGGGCTCAAGCTGCTTTTGTCACTATTTTCAGATGGCCCCCCCCAGGCTTCGGAGAGTGTGTTTTATGAACACCCCGCTGCTTTGGGAAATGTGAAATGAATGACGGCTTTACAAGTGTTAAATCATTGGAAGGCTTTTCCCCTCGGTGGCAGTTTGAACTTTTCACAGCGGATTTCTGCGCCAGAAAATTCGCTCCCTATGTCAAAAATAGCCAGCAGGAATTTTCTGTCTGTCTGGATGAGAATAAAAGCACGCTTTTAGACTGAAGGGTTGCACACTCAGAGACTTGATTGCGCACACAAACACAAACTACCAATGAACTATGTAGAGGTGAGGGGAAGACCTTCATTTCGACATGGCTCGAGCATCACCATAGAAATGTGGTGCTTTGCTGCCACAATGAGGCAGCTATAAACCTTTCAAGTGCGCCGTCAATGACTTGACAGACAGGGCTGCGAAATAGCCCGGGTTCGTTTGCCTTTTCTAGTAAGGCTTCCGATTCCATCGCTTCAAACGTTGTCTTGTGTTCTTCTCCCAAACTACGCGTGGTGAAAACCATTCAAGCTATCTAAAGCGCCATAGGTTTATTTCAACAGCACGGGCTCTGCTACTTTTTGTCTCATGCAAACAGAAAGTATTGCTTCCGTTACACAGCACGGGCTCTGCTACTTTTTGTCTCATGCAAAAACAGCAAGTATTGCTTCCGTGAATATGACGACCAGGGGCGGCGCTAGCGTGTTGCGCCAAAGCGAAAGTGACTCTGTGTCAACTTATTCAATTTGTCATTCAATTCAGCCGCTTTTCCGAGACACGCAAGTGATCATTTTCCCCAGAAAAAAATAGATCTAGCCACATTTTGAGATGCATTTGAAGATTTGTTCTGACTCCGTGTCCACAGTGCAGATGAAGCCACCCCTCTGGCTCACTTCATCCCGTAAAGCAAGTGGCCTTCAAGATTCAATTATATTTTCTGTCATGGAGGCAGCACTTCATCACCAAGCCTCCAAGTTAAACTTGACAACAAGTGTGGCACAGTGCTTCTCACACTTTTTATATCAAGTACCACCTAAAAAAAAATTGACGTTAAAAATTATATAATGATTCAATAAAATGATTACAGTACATATAAGTTGAAAAACATTTGTGTCCAAATAAGTGTTTAAAAACAAACAGCTCTGAAAGATTGGATGTAGCAGATCCGCAAAGGTGGCAATTACCACACCAAATTAGCCAAATATTTGATTTTCTGCCACTTATCAGAAGCTGAATCATGCTAACACTGGCTTAGTGGACACTTGACAACGCCTTCTTCGTTGGCTTCTTTGAAAACGTGACAACAGTTTGAACCGGAGTGTACACAGTGCGTTGATGCAGCAGCCTTTTTAGTTTAAATGAGCTTCCTTCCACTTTCTGGATCCCTCGTTGTCCCATGGCTAGTAGAATCCAGGCTGATTTTTTTATTTTTATTTTTTTGTTCCAGTAAATCCATCTGTATGGTGTCGTACCAGCGAGCGAGTGAGCGAGCGTTAAGCTAACTTGTTGTCTCGGATCCGGCATCCAAGTTGCCAAATTCGCTTTGTATGCTGCCGTGATGGCGTGACAGGCAAGCAATAAAATAACAGAGACAAAGTCCTCGATATACCGCCGAGCTCGCCTTCGTTGGCTTACCGCTTAACGGTTAAATGTAATCCTTTAATGCTCATTAGGCAGCCAAATATTCCGATACACACGCAAATGCTTCCGGACGTTATGCCCGAATGTTTCCATCCCGTGTGAAATTCTGATTCGATGTTTTTAAACAGCCGATTCGCATTTCGATTTGAGCCGCCATCGATTTGCGTGCGCAAATGTTGTGTCTGGAGCAGCAGCGAGTTGAAACGTTTTCGAATGACATTCGAGACAACAGCAAAGCCGATGACGGAGGGCTTCCTTTGCTGAACTTTCTCTCGCACCCCACGGCCCTCTCTTTTTTTTTATCGTTTCCAGTGAGCGCAGCTACTGCGTCTCCATTCACTTAGTGCTCTCTGAGCTGCGCTCCTTCTTTGTCCGACAGCGCCTCGAGCAGCTTGGGAGCAATCAAAGCAAATAAGTGGATGAGGTCAGCTGAGCCGTTTCAAGTGCACCTTATTTTCCAAAGATTCCGTTTGACTCAGGGCGATACTTTCATGCAAGTAGGTGGGATGGCGCCGTAGTATAAGATGTCGTGGAACTCCCAGCATGGCCATTTTATTTTTTTAAAAAATAAGCCAAGTCCGTACGTTTTGTGTAATTACGCCAATGTGGACCCTAACCCATCGGTAAATCACTTTAAATTGTGGGCGGTTTTATTTATATGGCACATTTAATTTCACAAGCCAACTCAATGTGCTTGACGCAAGCCAAGAAACAACACCTACAAGCACCTGACAGAAGAAAAGTAGCTTGCAAAAATTGCCCGAACGTACATTTTAACACATTAAGAGAAAACTTTAAAAACATTTCAAAGTAAGGAAATACAAGTGGATTTCTAAAATAATGAGAAGAAATATAGTTCGAAGTTCTTAACATGACTTTGAAGGCTGTCATCACTTTTGGCAGCTTATTCCATTTGCGGCAAGGCATCCGTTTTCATCACCAATGAAAACGGATGCCTTGAGGTCAAAATGAGGTGAGTCGTGTTGACGACGCGGTAATGTTTAGGGTGGCCATTTTAATCAGGCTTCTGTTCTTACGATCCAACCACATGACTAAAATCATAGATCAGACGTGTTTTCTCACTCATTCACCGTCTTTTCAGTGACTGAGTGACAAACGCTGATGCGGAGTGCAAAACATCTGCGACTCCTTTAACCACAGAGCCATCTGCTGACCCTCCATTAGGTGGCACCGGGTGTCTCCTCCTCCTTCGTCTCCTCCCACACCTCCTTCATCATTCATTCGTATCCCTGCAGCTCCACAGAAGCACGTGAAGGAATTTCCATTTAAGTTTCAAGGGGAATATGAAGTCAAATGGACTTCTTGGTATTAACATTTATTGCCTGCCCGCACATCAATTATGAATTTACCATCTTATTTCTGATAATGGGTCTTGGTCTGCTCCACTGGTACTAAAATGCGGGGCTGATTTACATCATCCCATCCTCCTCCATCCAGTTTCTCCGCCCATGACTTGACAGCCGGGCTCGGGGACTATCGGCCATTTTCAAGCGGCGGCTGTCGTTTGCACTCTCATGGCAAAATAATTTATCGGCATTTCTGCCTGCCCATCCACCCTTGTCTTTCTGACCATCTGTCTGTCTGTCCGTCTCCACAGCTGCGGTTGTTGTTGAAGCGCTCGAGAAATCAAGTGTTTTTTTGGAGAGTTGAGTTTTGCTCAGATCCTGTTGGAATTTTGCTCGTTACTAACGGTACTGATGATCTTACCAGGCACCTAAAATGACATCTCTTCCTTCACTTTATCACAAATCGAATCTATTAAAATTGACAAATACTTATAATAAGTCTTCGGGAGTGGTAAAGGGCTAGGATATAAGTAGTGTGGTACAAGTGACCGCGTACGCGTTATTTCTCAAGTTGGGTGGCTGTGTTTCGGGCAAAAGGGATGGTGGCGCGAATCACTGTGGAGGACAATCAATGCTAAGCTAATACACGGAGAGGCAGTCGGTGGCACATTTGCTTTTCCTTATCTTCCGCTGACGATATTCCAACAGGAGTCAGGTCATTCTGAGGCGTATACCTCACAAAGCCGCTTCTGTTAGGCCCACACACGTTTCTCTGGCGGAGGAATTCGGGACTGACGAGCACGCCAATGGCACCCCTGTTGCTTGGTTGGATTCTCTCCGAAAAAAAACTCGTCTCTATTCATTGAATTCTCGTCGGCCCTAAGAGGGAGGAAGATTGTTTTGACCTGCGTGCAGTTGATTTATTGGGACAGATCTCATTAAAAGCCCTCACGGAGAACTGGGTAGCATGTTGGGGACTTGAGAACAAGATCGCTGAGAGTGAATGCCAAGGTGTCCTTCATTTATGGTATGTCGGCGTCTTACAGTGACCGGGACCAAGCCCCTGAAACCAATAGCCAAAAATAGATGAGTAAAATCACGACAGGAAAATCTGTGATGAAACCTGAATACCATCCAGAATGCTAGTGACGTTAGCATTAGCATGTGATGCTGTGGACGAAAGAGCATTCTGACCTGTGCCTGTTTCTCTTCTCTTTCAGAAATCTCTTGGATAGAGACACCTTCTCCAAATCCGACCCGTGTAAGTTCTCTTTTGTTTCTTTGTCTTAACAATGCTAACTGCAGCTTAGCTTTTGATGTTTGACATGACGGTTTGCCGTCACCGGAGCGCATTTCACTTTTGCTGAGCTCCACTTGGATTTAGTCGTTCGTCCTTCTTGTTTCAAAGTGTTGTTTTGACAATATTGGTGTATCTTTTGCACACAAAAAAAAAATACGGTCTAAATCTGATCCTAAATCGTATGAAACAGTCGAAAACGGACTAAAATGTATTTGAAACTTGAAACGTCTTAACCGATTCAAAACCTGTATAAAACACAGACCCATTTATATCCGTGAACTAGGTGGAATCTTTTCTAAAGCCGAATGAAACCAAAGTGCGGTGACTGCATTTCCAGGAATTCTCGCAATGAGATGCAGGACGAGAGCGACGCTTTACAAAAGAGGAAGAAGGTTCCAGCCCTTTGTGTAAACAAAGCGCGGTGAGGACTGCTCGGCCTACTTTGTATTCTGCAACGTTGCACTGGGCCCGCCTCAGCTTCATTTGAAGTCGTAAAATTGGAAAGGAAGCAGGAAATCCCACCTTGAAGAAAGCGTGTTTTGATCACACTTTAGTCGTGGACGCACGTGACCTTGAAGAAAGACCGCCAAAATGCCTACTCGGTTCATCAAAGAATAAATTAGACGTATGGTACGATACCAGTTTTTCTGAAATAAAATTGACCATTTTGTAACGCATTTTACATCCACATTCAAGCTATTTTCTCTCGGCTCATGTACAAATGAGCAGGCTTGTCTGTCTCTCAAATGTGGCCCAACAGCAAAGAATTTTGCCCTCTCGCTCTCTCAAAGCATCGTCATCTCATTGGCTGACATTTCACTGACTGCTGATGCTTCATCGAACGACAAAATCATTATAACAGCGACGCCGATTGGTTGGGATGTCACTCTGCGCGTGTGTGTGTGCGTGTGTGTGTGTGTGTGTGTGTTTGTGTGTGTGTGTGTGTGTGTGTGTGTGTGCGCGTGCCTGACAGTTAAATGTTATTTATTTTGTATTGAAGCTGAAGGCCCTCGAGGAATGACTGTTTATTCTTCGAATTTTGACAAATTAAGCATCTCTTTGGCTGCACAGTGGTCGACTGGTTAGCACGGCCGCCTCACAGTGTGAAAGGTGCAGGGTTCGATTCCAGCTGTCTTCAGGCAGTAGGCGGGGGACACCCTGAACCGGTTGCCAGCCCATTGCAGGGCACACACAGACAAACAATGCTTCACCTTCACAATCACACTGCGGGACAATTTAGAGTAATCAATTAGCCTTCCGTGCATGTTTTGGGAATGTGGGAGAAAAATGGAGTACCCCGAGAAAACCCACGAACTTGCAAACCCCATCCAGGAAGTTTGGACACACTAGCCAGTAAACCACCATGCTGCCCTTTCGAGGAAAACATGCGCAAAATTTTGCAAGAAGGCAGCCGTTTTGTAGTAGCCGGAAGGAAAAACGAAACCAGCTAATGTGGGTGAAGCACGCGTCACAGTTTGATTGATTTCAGCACTTGAAAGACTGGCCATGAAAAGAGGTTCCTGCTTGCGACTGCACTTGATTTGTTTTGGGAGCCGCCAGGTGAGTGAATTGAATAAGGATCATTTGGCCACTCGAGGGGGTGGGGGGGGGGGTGTAGCATTAGATTTATTGAGTATAGTCAACAGGGATATTAAAATATTACCCCCAAAAAAATCACCGCAATGCAGGAATTTCAACAGTCAGTCGAGAGTACACGACCCAAATCAATAAACTACATCAAAGCTTGTGAAAACTAAGAACAAAAATTGCAACAATAGATCACAGCAGAAAGCTGGAGAAAAAAAAAGACAACCTTGGAAGTCAAGAAACAAAAGAAGCATTGACTCTGTGTAGCATGTAACTGGTCATAACAATTTCAAATATGGGCCGCTTCTCGACGTGGCATGATACGAAACCCGCTGACAGAGGTCGGGGGATCCACACAGACGAGTTGATACACAAGGGATGGGACACGGGTAGAGGCGAGCACCAGAGCAGAGAGGAATGAGGGCGAGAGGTACAGTGCCGTGAAAAAGTATTTGCTGCCTTCCTTATTCCTTTTGTACTTCGCATTTTCATCACACACACAACAAAGGTTTTCATTTTAATTCATCAAACCACTTCGATATCGCAAAGAGACAACGCAAGGAAATACAAAATGCAGTTTCAAAACGCCAATTTAATTTATTAAGGCAAAAATATAAGAAATCCAAACCTACCTGTCTATGTGAAAAAGTCATTGCCCCCCGCCCCCTTGTTAAATCACACAAATTAACTGTGACTAACGACAATTTTGGGAAAGCCAAGTTCAATTTTACAGGTCACACCCCAACTTGATGACCATCACATTTGTTGAATCAAGAAATCACATGGTATTTGTCAGAAAATGTGAAGCATCGTGATACGATCCAAAGAAATTTGAGAAGAAATTTGAAAAATGCGTGATTGAAATCTATCAGTCTGGAAAAGGTTCCAAAGCCGTTTCGAAGACTTCTGGGGCTCCAGCAAACCACTGTCAGGGCCATTAACCACGCATGGAGAAAACTGGGAACACTGCAAAACATTCCCAAGAGTGGTCGACCGGCTAAAATTATGCGATGACAACTCATCCAGGAGCTTGCAAAAAATCTGAGAAAAACATCCAAAGAACTTCCAGACCTCGCTGGCCTCAGGTCAGGTTAGTGTTCACGACTCTCCCCTCAGAAAGACACTGGCCAAAAGTGGCACGCATGGGAGAGTTCCCAGGCGAAAATCACTTCTATCCGAATCTCACGTTTGCCAAAAGACATCTTGATGATCCTCAAAACTTTTGGAAAAACATTCTGTGGACTGATGAGTCAAAAATTGAACTGTTTGGGTGATGTGGGGCCCGTTACGTCTGGCGCCTGCCATTTAATAAAAAGAACACGATGCCAACAGTGAAGCCTGGTGGTAGCAGTGTGATGGGCTGGGGCTGCTTTGCTTCCTCAGGACCAGGACAACTTGCTTTGATTCATTTATCGGACAATTAATTCCCTTTCAGAAAATTCAGAAGGAAAACGTCCGACAATCATTTTACACCCTCACACTCAAGCGCTCTTGGATCAGGCAGCACAACGATCCAGAACACACCAGCAAGTCCATCTCTGAATGGCTAAAACAAATAAATAAAGCAAAATCAAATTTTGAGTGGCCAAGAGAAAGTCTGGATTTGAATCCATGTGAGAAGCTGTGGTGTGACCTGAGGTGGGCAGTTGGTGTTCGAAAACTCCAAAATGGTGCAGTAGAAGCAATTCTGCAAAGATGATTGGGCCAAAGTTCCTCCACAGCAATGTGAAAGACCCACCACCCATTATCCCAAACGCTTGATTTCAGTTATTGCTGCCAAGGTCGGCACAATTACTTTTTCCACAGAGGGGAACAGGTAGTTATGGATTTTTTTGTGCCTAATAAATTAAACTGCCATTTAGAAACTGCATTTTGTATTGCCTTGGATTGCCTCAGTGTGTGTTATTAAAATTGGTTTGGTGAACTGAAATCCTTGTTCGTGTGTGTGTGTGTGTGTGTGTGTGTGTGTGTGTGTGTGTGAGTGCGTGTGTGTGTGTGTGTGTGTGAGATAAATGCAAATAACGCGGAATTCAGTAAAGGGGCATTTAAGGGGGTTAGTTCATGGCACTGTGAAGCTTCCGACACGAGAGGATATAATTACAACAAAATAAGCAAATAAAATGAAAGACAGGACTCAAAACTGAAAACTTGCATTGCCGTACAATTTCGAGGTTACAATGTGGCATCGAGGCTCTTCACTCGCATCACGTTTTTGTGTGTGTGTGTGTGTGTGTGTGTGTGTGTGTGTGTGTGTGTGTGTGTGTGTGTGTGTGTGTGTGTGTGTGTGTGTGTGTGTGTGATAAATGCAAAGAACGCGGAATTCGGTAAAGGGGCATTTCAGGGGGCTAGGTCATGGCACTGTCGAGCTTCCGACACGGGAGAGGATATAATTACAACAAAATAAGCAAATAAAATGAAAGACAGGACTCAAAACTGAAAACTTGCATTGCCGTACAATTTCGAGGTTACAATGTGGCATCGAGGCTCTTCACTCGCATCACGTTGGAGATGAAAGCGGTCTTTTGATGGGTTCTGCTTTCTTCTCTCTTGGCAGTGGTGGTGTTGTACACGCAGGGCGTGGAGTGCAAACAGTGGCGAGAGGTAAGACATACCACGCCTCCCTCAGCCCGCACGAATCACCTCCATAAGACACACACGAGCGCCCGCTCTGCATTTGCATGTGTTTTGTCTTTACGCTGCACGTCACTTTGCAAACGTGATGTCAGCGTAACGATCTGGGATGTACCCCTGCGGGCGATTGACCGCCGGATTTAATTGATCCCAGTGGTCAAATTGAAGCCTCTTTTCCGAAGAAGACGTGATGAAACGAGGCTGGCTGACTGCTTTGTAGTGTTTAGTGTCCCGCTCCAGTCCACACGAGGCGGTCGTGTTAGCTCTGCACCATTGGGTGCAATCACAAGCGAAATCTCTGCTCCCAACCGATTGGGATGTATCACTTCAACGCACTTCCTCCACACCACTTAGTAGTTTGCGATTAGACGGGACTTTGGCGCCATCCTCAGATATCTCAGGCCGTTGCAGAAAAATTCCACGGAAAATAAAAGCGAACGGGTGAAATTACGAGTCGCGAATTTCGAACAGGCAAAGCGGCTCACTGTACATGAAATGAAAGCGAATCCCGTCATTTCCCTGGCCATGCCTGTTGACCTCTCGTGGAGGCGCTTGGGAATCACTGATCGGGCGATGCTGAAAAATGGATGAAGGTGTGCCTTCTCCCGCTTGTCAGTCATGAAAAAAGAAAGGCGACTCCTTGACTCGGGTGCAGCCCAGTCTTCAGAAGACGGGACCAACGGTCAGCAGCGGGACTCCACACCACTTAGTAGTTTGCGATTAGACGGGACTTTGGCGCCATCCTCAGATATCTCAGGCCGTTGCAGAAAAATTCCACGGAAAATAAAAGCGAACGGGTGAAATTGCGAGTCGCAAATTTCGAACAGGCAAAGGGGGTCACCGGACATGAAATGAAAGCGAATCTCGTCATTTCCCTGAGCATGCCTGTTGACCTCTCGTGGAGGCGCTTGGGAATCACTGATCAGGCGATGCTGAAAAATGGATGAAGGTGTGCCTTCTCCCGCTTGTCAGTCATGAAAAAAGAAAGGCGACTCCTTGACTCGGGTGCAGCCCAGTCTTCAGAAGACGGGACCAACGGTCAGCAGCGGGACGTGTTACTTCCTCTCCTCAATCTGCTGCTGATTCCCATTCTGCCGTTGCTGATGAAGCAGCTGGTCGTAGTGGCACTTGGAGGGAAACCTCTCATTTCATTTTTTTTTTTTTCTCTCTCTCAGAGAAGAGGAAGGCACAGTTCCGTTTTAACGGCCCGGAACACGTAAAACATCCCAGATGCCGAGGTCACGGCAGAATGAATGTCAAATTCCCCCCCCCCCCCGAGTCTCGTATTGACATATCCTGGCTGCCTATGAGGTGTTTGCCTTTGCCTTGCTTTTTCTTTTTTTTTTTCAGTCGCGTGATTGTGCAATCGTTGAGTGCTGCCAATCTCATGTTGATGAATTCAACCTGGCCGCGGTCAGACTAAATATCCATTCTGCGATATGCAGTGAACACTTGCTGCAGATGGTGTTTTTGAGGACGTTCCCAATCGTCGTGGATGGATGGCGAGATTGGCGTGGCTGTGTTTGACGCGTCAGCTGTGATCAATTTACGCGCGAGTGTCAATGAGTATACGCGACGCTGATGGGCTCACCTGTTGTGTCGACGGACAAAAGCAGAGCAATTTGGAGAATCAATTCAGATTAGCAGCAGCTACGGTCTTTGCAATGTGCCTGTCGTGGACGCACACGCTTGCTAGGTATCATTGGAAAGCACTGTGCATAGGCCAAAATAAGACGGCTGTTTGCGGAGTTGAGCCGTCTTCAGGCGGACGGGGCGCCGCAAACGGGGAACTGTTTTCTAGACGTTGTTTTGTATCGCATCGTGATATCATCAGCGGCAACATATTGCAAATATCGTCTTGTTATTTTGCCCTCTCTTCCGTGTTTTGATACAGTTTGGGAGAACGGAGGTGATTGACAACACTCTGAACCCAGACTTTGTCAGGAAATACATCCTGGACTACTTCTTTGAAGAGAAGCAGAACCTGCGCTTTGACGTGTAAGTTATCTACTTTGATGAGCTCCTCTGAGACCACAACGAAGCTGACCGAAGAGCGCTGCTCCAAATATTTCTTTCCGCATCCTCCCTGGCTTACCCGCTCATGCTCACGTACAGCAGTTCAAAAGGGAGTCCAAAACCGCCCCCCCCCCATCCGTTCTCTATAAATTAGTCAAGGAATAATTTCAACCTTTGAAATAACAGTTCACTAGGAATATTACATATTGTTCAATACACAAAAAAAAAACACTTTGACACAAAAAATCCAGGTGAGGTTAGCGCGAGCTAGATCGTTCAATACACACAAAAAAAAGCCACTGACACAAAAAAATCCAGGTGAGGTTTGCGCTAGCTAGATTGTTCAATACACACAAAAAAAAATACTGACACAAAAAAATCCAGGTGAGGTTAGCACTAGCTAGATGGTTCAATACACAAAAAAAAAACACTGACACAAAAAAAAATCCAGGTGAGGTTAGCGCTAGCTAGATTGTTCAATACACACAAAAAAAAACACTGACACAAAAAAATCCAGGTGAGGTTAGCGCTAGCTAGATTGTTCAATGCACACAAAAAAAAACACTTTGACACAAAAAAATCCAGGTGAGGTTAGCGCTAGCTAGATTGTTCAATACACACAAAATAAAAACACTGACACAAAAAAATCCAGGGGAGGATAGCGCTAGCTAGATTGTTCAATACACACAAAATAAAAACACTGACCCAAAAAAATCCAGGTGAGGTTAGCGCTAGCTAGATGGTTCAATACACAAAAAAAACACTGACACAAAAAAAATCCAGAGGTGAGGTTAGCGCTAGCTAGATTGTTCAATACACACAAAAAAAAACACTGACACAAAAAAATCCAGGTGAGGTTAGCGCTAGCTAGATTGTTCAATACACACAAAAAAAAACACTGACACAAAAAAATCCAGGTGAGGTTAGCGCTAGGTAGATCGTTCAATACACACAAAAAAAAAACACTGACACAAAAAAATCCAGGTGAGGTTAGCGCTAGCTAGATTGTTCAATACACAAAAAAAAAAACACTGACACAAAAAAATCCAGGTGAGGTTAGCGCTAGCTAGCAGCTGTTACGACACGTGTGGATGAATTCTAATTTGGTCTAAAAGAACAACCTGTGTTCTGCCGTTGCCCAGCATACGGTGAGGGATCCTGGAGGTCAGAAGAAGTCATTTTCAACAAAAAAGGAAAACATTTCCAGAGGTTGTTCAAAATAAGCCAACACACATTGCAACTCATGTCAAAAGGGAGTCAACAGAGCCTGCGCAGGTCGATGCCACCACCAAAGTGGCTTTCATTCACCTCAAACACATTTCAGCCGCTCATGTAGTTTTTTTTCCGGTCGACATTTTTGTTTTGCTTTCTCATGCTTTTATTAAGACACCTGTGAAAAGGTGAGGGGGCAAAAAAATGCACGCCTCCTTTCAACTTCATTTAGATGAACACGACGGGCGTGAATGAAAGACTGTGCCGCCAACATAAAGCTGGCGATATGACAGCACACAAATTTTTGTCGTGCATTCTGGGACTTTGTGTCTTATTTGCGTGGCTAACTTCTGAATCGAGTTGAATTCTGAATACATTTGCCGTCAGAAATGTGCCTCGCCAATCCGCTTGTCATGCGGGGAATACGTTAAATATACCCGCGTGTCCTTATTCCCTCGTCCTCTAACCTGACTCTCATTTTCTCCTCGTCTTGCTTCTTCTCTCCCGAGGAATTATTCATTGGCACTCTGTCTCCGTAGAAAACTATGAGGGTGATACATATTTCATTTCGACTTTTATCGCTAATCTCCCCTGCTGTCAAAGCAAAGCAAGTCTTCGAAAACTTGCCAAGATCCCATGCGCGTGACCACGCACGCACACACACACACACACACACACACACACACACACACACACACACACACAATGGTGCAATTTATAGGTACACGTTGAGATAAAATCTTTGTTGTTGTGTGCACTCCTGATAGCATAGCTCCCAAATTCCATCTCTCATGACCAAGGGTATCCAAATAAAAATCCTGAAGGGCCGCACATCCTTTTCTCGTTGAGGTAAAGCTCCATTTAGTGAGGTTGCTCAATTTTTTTTTGTTAATGGTTGCGTACAAGAAAAGGTGAATCCAAAACAAAAAATTCATCATGCAGGGGATGAGAACCATTTTAGTTTGAAATGTAAAGAAACTCGCCTATTTACTGGGGCTTCGCACTTCAAATGGAAGAAAGAAAAACGAAATCCAAAATTGCTCAGCGAGTCCTCACATAAGATAACACGAATCAAATCGAAAATGAGCTCGAAAATGTTGTGACGTGATCAACACGTACCCGGCTAACGTTTCGCTTCGCGTGTTCTGCTTTTATTCCGAAAGACAAAGTCTCCCAGCTGCGGAAACAAGAGTCGCTTTGCGAGCAATTGAAACAGGTCACTTTGACGCGTCAAATAAGACGCCGATGCTTCACGCCAACAAGGCACTTTTGTGTCTCGACTCACGTTGTCATTCGATTAGAAATCCTCGATGCCAAGTGACCAGGTCAGCCGGGTGCACCTTCATTTTCAGAGCCCCGCTAATCAAATGTGGGCCGGCGCAACGAGCGCCCAATAATCCTCCTGAAAGTCTTGGACTCTGTGTGACAGAGTGCCGTCTTTCGCCGAGACCCTTGCGGACGCTCGGGTGTCCAGAGACTTTTGTTCTCCTTCCGAATTCATTTGCATGCGATGGGGAAGGAAGTGTGGCTTTCAACAGCAGGGAGTCTCTCCCTTTGCAATTAGAGGGGACTCATTTACATCTCTCTTTTATCACATGAGGAGGGGGGGGGGGAGGCGGAGCGGGGGAGCCGAGGCCTTCTGGAGTTTAATTACTTTTACGTTGACTGGCAGACGCATGCGACTTAAGGCCTCGTTTACAGACGGTAGATAGAGAGCGAGATTTTTTTTTTTTTCCCCAAAGGAGACCAGTTCTGCATTTTTACAATTCGAAAGACGATCCAGGGTGGTCCGGTGGTTAGGGCGTCGACCTCACAGTGCAGAGGTCGCGGGTGCGATCTCGGCTCCGGCCTCCCTGTGTGGAGTTTACATGTTCTCCCCGGGCCCGCGTGGGTTTTCTCCGGGTGCTCCGCTTTCCTCCCACATTGCAAAAACATGCGTGGCAGGCTGACTGAACACTCCAAATTGTCCCGCGGCGTGAGTGTGAGCGCGGACGGTTGTTGGTCTCTATGTGCCCTGTGATTGGCTGGCAAGCGGTTCAGGGTGCCCCCAGACTACTGCCCCGAGACAGCTGTGATAGGCTCCAGCACGCCCCCGCGACCCTTGTGAGCATAAGCGGATCGGATAATGGAATGATTGACTGTTTGCGTCAAATTTGGATTACTTGGCCACGAAACAACAAAGTGGACTCGTTTCAATTTCAAGATGTTAACAAATGTGTTGAGGGCTGCACCGGTTTCGCCGTGCAGCGTACTGTATGTGTCCCGTTGTTGCAAAGCGGCGCGCTTTGACATGCTCAAGTGCTTTCTTGATGGTTTCAGGTTTGATATTGATTCTCGAAGTCCCGATCTGGCCAAGCATGTGAGTAAAGCTCCTTCTCTGTGTGGACCCGGAAGCTGAAGCCTCTCAGTGTGGTTCATCCTGTTCTGTTTTGCTTCGCTTGCTTCCAATGTGGGCATGTCGCACACTTTCTGGTCGCCCGCAAATCAAATGAGACGCCACCTTTGCACTTCCATTGGAGTAACTGATGCATCATGTGCCGACCTAATGGGTTTCCGTCTCTTGACAAAGTGGAAAACATTTTTTTTTTTTTTAAATTCCCCTTGGAGATGTACGAATCAAACTTTGGGTTGCAAGTTGGGCACTTTTCTTGGGAATGAGAAACGAATCCGTGCGCATGATGGATTTCGGCACATTGGCGTTGCGAACGTGCGTTTGGAGAGAAGAGCGTTTGCTTTGCACACGACCAAACATTCCAGCATCAGCTTTCTCGCGGTCGATCGTAAAGTTTTGCTCAAACCCTTCCCGACTTTTGCTTGTTCCGCACGCCTCTCGTCACGTCGTCGTCCTTCCCGTTGCACCTCCGCCCGTCACCACGATGTCCGCCCCGACGCTCCCAAATCCACCCCATTGCTCTCCATCTTGCTTGAGGATGATTTCAGTTGAGTTCCGTGAGATGCTGACTTGTGCCAATGCTATTGCTGCCCGCTCTCTCTCTCTCTCTCTCTCTCTCTCTCTCTCTCTCCCTCTCTCTTTCTTTCTTGATTTCTTCCTTCCTTTCTTTCTCTTCCTCCTCCTCCTCCTTCTCCTCCTCCTCCTCCTTCTCCGCACTTGGGAAAAAGCCGGCCGACTTTAACGTACGTGTCTGCCTCAGATGTCCTCTCAATTCTGACTGTACAAGGTCCTCGATTGATGCTCAACTCCTGTCTTTTGTTACTCCCGCCCGAACATGCCGCCCGCCACTTTGCCCCAAACCGATGCCCGCTCTACATGGCACTCACTGTCGCCCTCATGGCAGGACTTTCTGGGACAGGTCCACTGCACGCTGGGGGAGATTGTGGGCTCTCCTGCAAGTCGCCTGGAGAAGTCTCTCAGGTATGTTTGTCCTTTTTTTTTTTTTTTAAGCCCATTTTGGCCAAGCGCTTTCTGGGTGACGCCGACACCAAGCCCGTCATTTAATCTGACCCGTTGACGACGGAACGCCTTTTTGAAAATGTGAACCGTCGAGGTGTCAAACACGAGGCCCTTGGGGGCAGATTTGACCTGACTCATAATTAGGATTATTTCATGTGTCCCACAGAGTAAACAAATTATGTTTTTTTTTGTTTTTTTATGGAGCTGTTTACAATTCTGGCAGAAAATCTTCTCTGACATTGCCATTTTTCTTCACTTTAATCCATTTTAGAAGCGTTTACATTCACACCCCTTTCACATCACTCGGATAAAAAAATGGTACACGAAAAGATTTGCTTTCAGCGATTTCACGTGCTGTCTGATTTCAAATTCAATTTGTTGAGAAATCTTACAATCAAACGTCGGTGGCCATTTTATATGTCCCGGAGGAGAAAAAGATACATTGAAACGTGGTTTTCACAGTCGCGAGGACCCTCTGAGGGAAAAACCCGAACTGTGATGTGGCCCACAATCGAAATGAGTTTGACAGCCCTGCTCAAAGTGCTTTCCAAAAATCCTTGAATATAATCAGAGAAGCTCAACGGTCATCCGTGCGGGCCACGTCGTTTCCGCTTGATGCCGCCCGTCAGAGCACCGTCAAAGCGACGATCAATATGTCTAACCGCAAGAGCCATCTGTGTCTCCAAAACTCTGAAGTCTAAGACCATGTGCTAGCAAAGGAGCGGCTAACTGAACACGATCGAGGGCTTCCACAAAGAAATATCTGTCGTTGGCCACGCAAGACGAGATTTAAAACCACGATGAAACTATGGCTGCCGTGCAACTTGATCTTTTTTTTTTTCTTGCTTTAAAAATGCTCACTTTCATTGGTTTATAATGGAAAAGGGCAATTTTTTTTTTTTTTTAATAATGTCTTTAGCCTATGTTCCTTTACTCATTGTAAAGGGCAAACGTCCATCCAATGTTTAAAGATTCCAGAATTCGGTCATCATCGCAACCGATTGAAGGCAGAATGAGCGCGAGCACATCTGCAAAGTTGTGAAGCGTAGCGGTGAGAATATTTCTCTTTAATTTCATCCCACTTGAAGCATAAAACGGAAACTTGTGGCGATCATAAAACTTCTGCCACACAGACCGTGCAAATTTGACACGTGTCAATGGCGTCTCATGACCCCAAAACATTTCTACCTCCTCCCTACTTGATGGAATTTCTGTTGGGAGGTGCTAGCATATGAACAGACGAGCAAAGCGTCTGAATCGATCGTGAATGCGGTGCGCTTGAAGCGACCCCGGTGTATCTTCGTCCCCGCGAGACACGTGCCGCGTGTTTCCGTCAGTCATCAGCCAAAAGGGAGTCTGTCAGTTCTGGACTGAGAAGATCCATCGGTAACGATGATTCCGGATGGACAAAAGCCCACTTCGTCAGTGCTTAGTCCACCATTTTTTTTTTGTTTTTTTTCGCATCGTTCATCATTCGCCAGCAAAGCGAGCGTGCGTCAGTGACGGATTGATGGATCTTAAGTCAGCACTGATGGAATACCCAGCTGCGTTTTTTTACAAGTCAGGTGTGATTCTGGTGTCACGTCAGCTGTGATTGTCTTTACAGTTGAGTGCGATTGTTTTCACACGTCAGGCGCAATAAGCTTCACATTCAGCTGCGATTGTGTTGAGATGTCAGGTGCAGTCGGCTTCAGGCGCTTCGATGGATGGAGAGACGGAGAGTCTTCATCATAACATTTTCCCTTCTTCACACAACAAAACGTGAGGATGGTATTGCGAGTGCTACACTAAGTGCCCTCTGGTGCTGCTAACAGGATGGCAAGCAGCAAAGCTCGAGCTGTGGACACTTTTAACGGTATTGATTCTGCTCCTGGACTGATGCACCGTCCGACTTAAGCGGCGGCGGCAGCGGCGGCCAGTGATGATAATTCCGATGCTGACTTGATAAATTCACTTGCTGAGAGCTTTCCGTTCAGCTCTTTCCGTTGTGAAAACAGCAACATTTGCCAATCAACAACGGCTCGGCTCCATTTCCTTGTCACGCATCCGACCGTTCCCTAACAGGACTCGAGGAATGCAGGTAGAAAGGAAATGCGTCGGCCGTGCTTTTCAGAGGAGCCTTCCCCAAGGCGCATTGGATCAATGACCTGCTTTCAGAGATCCCTTTCTTGCCCTATTTTACACACTTCACCTCTCACTCTCCCTCCTTCGAGCCACTTTGGTGGACCGCTTCATTTCAATGCGCTCTTTCAATCCACATCCTCCAACCTCCATTTTAGTTTGTTTTTTTTTCTTCTCCTGACCGACATCCATCCGCGTTTTTGCTCTCTACTTATGTTGGTTTTTTTATGAAAGATGCTTTGTATTTGGACACATTTGAGTATGAGATGGGATCTGTTCGAAATCCCAGCCTGGCGCTTCCCTTGCTCGTATTTGATGTGATGAAATGGGGCCAGAGTGCCTGATGTCGGCTGCTCGGTGTAATGGAGCTCAAACCTCAGCACTCCCGTTCCTGGGATCGAAGTGAAATGTGATCACAATGAGCACGGCTTGGCGGCACAGCGGAAAGAGTGCTCTGAGGTTGTGGGTTTGAATCCACGCTTCCCGTGTACAACAGCGCGGCAACTGTTTGGGATTTTTTTTATCCGAGTTAGCTTTTATTTCATTTTGACTGTTTTCTCTTTTTTCATTCATTTTTTTTTTTGAGTGGATCCGTTCGTTTTTGTTTGAATTTTTTTTCTGTTAGTTTTTGTTTGTTTTTATCTTGTCAAAAATACTTCATTCTAGTATTGTTTTTTAATAGTTTTAGTCATATCTGCCTAGCTAGCTAAACTTGGATGAGGCTAGCTAGCTAGCTCGCTAGCAAGCGAGCTAGCTAGCCCCATCCAAGCCCCTGGGAAACAGTTGCATATGTTACAAGATAATGGAGTTCGTGATACAGACGCCGTGAACCTTTTTCTATGCTGGCCCGGCAAATTACACCCGCGAGCTGGAACCTCGGAGCCCATCTGAAAATAGCGTGTGCGTGAAGCCATTTCACAACATCCGTTGAGACACTTTGTGAACGGATTCTATTAGAAGTTGGGTCGAAATGTGTCCCCTTTCCATTCGCTTGACTTTCATGACAAATTTTGCAATGGAGATCAATTCTATTTATAATTCATTCCAAGCTGTCACCATCGCTGTCAATGTTCTTGTTTTATGAAGATGAGGCATTCAAATTTTGTCATCCCAACAGATCAACGTTCTGGTGTTTTTGTTTATTTGTTTGTTTTTCTTTCATGGCTTTGTGCGCCTTCGCCGCTACGACGGATAAAAGCTCCCGCGAGCGCCGACAGCGGCACGCAGAGGCACTAAAGTAAACTCTCGCCAGTCATCATTCTATTCATCGGAAGAAAATGAAGAGCAGCTCGTATCGACGGTCTACTTAAAGCACCCGCGGGGAGGTCAAGGCGACCCTGTAATGCCCTTTTCAGCAGCGGTCTGAGACTCAAGTGCGGCGGGAACACATTTGTAAATGAAGGTGTTGTGTAATCATAAAGTGAAGGGAGCAAGGCCTTCGCAAGTGGGATGCTGTGCTCTTGCTGTGAGGATATGAAATTACAGTTATAATGTCCGGAAAATTACCCTTTCTCATCAGCAGGAAAGAACTCGGTTTAAGTTTAAGTGCAATACGTTCATCCATTTTATTTTATTGATTTATTTTGGGGTGAAGAGAAAAACTCTTACCGGTCTGACAGTTTTTCGGCTGTCGCTTCAGCCTTCATCGGAGCTGTCAATACTTCCTGGTGACGTGTCTTAAAAACAGCTGACCGGGTCGGGAAACCTTCAAAATTACGGCTTTGGAAACCGAATCTCACCACAAGTAGACAAGATGAAGGCCATAGCGCTAGCAGGAAAGAACACAGAGATAATGGACCAGTGGCCAATCAATGGCAGGGTCACGTACACAAATCATCCGGGAAGTGTTTTTTCACATTTTGTTTTGGTGCAGTTTTGTCCAAAATGTATTTTAGGCTTTCTTTATGTCAGAAGTCATTTTGCTGCAGTGTATTTGTTTTTTTCATTGTTTTTTTTTTGTCACATCAGAAGCCCGTTTCGGCCAGTGGATATAAGTCTTTTTTTTTTTCTTATGTCTCAAAAAAAAAAAAAAAAAATTGGATGAATGTATGTCACATGGGCGTACGTCTTTTACTGGGTTTGGTTTCCTGTGCCGTGCTGCGATGAGCCAGACTCTGTTTTGGGGTCGCGGCCTGGTCAAAGGTCAATGTTGGACAGTGGTAGCGCTTAACTCGAGTCGATCAGAGGCAACTCTTCTCACAGAAGAGCATTTTGTGTTTTGGTGTCCTTTGACTAAGCTGATGCGCTTTAAAAAAAAAAAAAAACCACTAAAGTGAAGGATTATTGATCTTTATCAATGTATGACGATCAAGGGGATTAGTGGTCTAATCCCCCTTTCATGCCTTGTGGCAACTTTGTGGTCTTCTTTTGGGGCGGGATGTGGCCCGAAGCGTTCACCGCAGCACCCCGCCAGATTACCTGCCTGCTTTCCGTCTCTGCTGCTCTGTGACGCGCCGCCATCGCCGGGCTCATTGGTTCATGAAGACCAATGTTGATTCATCAGCTGAGCCTGTGCAATGAAATCATTCTGTCCAGCGGCAACCTGCCAATTTCTGCCGTCTCACGTTGGATTTACGCCTCACGCGGCACCGCTATTTCTGCCTCAAAGGGGACACGTTTGACTTTTGAATGTTTTGTATGCAAATACAAAAGTTGTCTGTCTGGACTCGCTGCCCACCCATCAAGTGTGAAATCAAATCACCAAGTCAATTTTTGGAGTTATCTGCCTATTTAGGAAAATGTTTAGGAAAGTGAAACAGTGAGTGTAATTGAAATAATAACCATTGTCCATGGTTGTTTTAAAGTGCTCTAGAAATACAGTTGAGTTGAGTTCAGTAACACAAACGTGTTTTTTTTTTTTTCTTCCGTAATGCATTTTAATGGGCGTCATTTGTATGTAGATTTGTACTCTTCACTGGCTGGTCAAGTCTCAATCCCCTGCAAATAGCGGAGTTCCACTGTATCGTTTAAAGTTGTAATATTGTCGTTCACCACTAGATGGGAGACATTGCTGTGTTGGACTTGTGATACTGCCCTATACGCCGGTATGAGTAGGCCTAATAATTTGGAGATTTGGAATTCCATGCAGGACAAACATAGCACCTGAATAACATTAACATTCTGAGTGAGTAGATTTTTGTGGGAAAATTGCACAAAATGAGTTCCTGCACTTAATGTGGGTTTGCAGTTGAACAATTTTGTGCCGCCCGTGGTCTGGCCATTTTTATACAAAGAGAACTCTTGAAACTGAAAAATATCAGGATCTTGGATAGATATAGACAATTGCACATATTTTGTCCACATTAAAAATGATAGTTTTTGTCGTATATCGGCGAGAAAGTGTGTGGCCCTTTGTGGCCCCCCGTTAGAGCTGATGAAA